ACTTTGCGCTTGTCCGTCTTCACCCGAATTGATGAGGTGGTAGTGAAACCATGTAAACATGGATATCCATTTGTAGCGTTTATAGTTGGCACTGTCCTTTTTGCTGAACAAATACCTTCATGGGTGACGTGACCAACCCAGTCACGTCTTGATAACTTGAGCAAATATACGTTTCACATACCTTCAACAAAACAGATCTGGGTTTGTTTGTCTTTTTTGGAGGTGCCGCGGCGTTTGGTGGATTTAAAGGGAAACAAAAAGGACAACCACATTTCGGGGGGGGGGGGCGAGAACCCTCCGCCGTCGAGGAAAACAAAAACTGATCCTGCCTTGGCCGGCGGCACATCCTGCAAGCCACGAGAGCCCTTCAAAGGCTCGGATTTTTGCCGTTGACGCCAGTGGGCCAGCCAAGATGCACAACCCAAAGGCTCCAATTCGATTGATTTAGGGCCTTCAAACAACCTGGTTTTGAGACCCCCAACCACCTTCGGGATGTCTAATGGAAGGGTCAAGTCTTCCGTTGAAAGCCCCAGGAGCCTCTGGGAAAACAAAAGAAAGAAGAAAGCGTTCCAGTATGCAAACAAACGGACACGCGACACATGCGGCCCATCCGCGAATCGGCAGAACACGGGCGCAACTGAAAAAAATCACGGCTTCTTCAAGTCAGCTCACGGAAAACACCTCCCATGCCGTTGGTCGAATACTTGGATGCTCGATTCGCCAAGTTAGCAAGTGGTTAGCCACCTGAGGTACAACCTACTTATATATAAGTGAGTTTGGCCGGTTGTAAGGAGGTTATACCCCAGGTGGCTAACTACTTACTAACTTGGCGAATCGAGCACCCAAGTAGAAAACAAAGGCCACAGTTGCCCAGGTCAGCCACGTCTGCCGAGCCTCTTGCTTCCAGAAATTGGATCCAACGATTGAGCCAGCACCAAGAAAGGGGACAGTTGAGTCATACTCAAAACCCGGCACACAAATCGTGAACTCAGAACCATGTAAAGGATTAAGACGGCGGAATCCCGCGCTTCTTTCTGGCGAATCGGGATCGCCCCTTACTAACCGCGTGACTCATTTGGCCATGGGTCAAAATCCCGGTTATCCCCCAGTGAGCATCCCAAACCCCACTAAAATAGGTTCTAAAATGGGTGGTGCACCTACCAACCAAAATGAGATCCCATTGGTTTTGACAACCACAGCCATTTAGGGAAAACAGCGACCAAGTCTTCGTGGCCGTGGCTAGGAGCCAGGGCAAACCAATCGCAAGAACTCGTCTTCTCCATTGACCAAGGCGGCATGTTGGGCTACCATGCTGTTGAGCCACTTGTGGTGCCTGTAACTGGATGGTGATTGGGCACCTCCAAGTTTTGCCAAAGTTTCCTCGTGACTCGTGGGTAAATGATCATCCATGGTTGTAAGTCTCTTAAGAAAATTAGGCTTACTAACCGCTTAAGTACCCGATCGGCACTATCAGTACTGTAAACCCAGCCAGGTTAAGTTGCAGGATAACCACCACGCAACTCACGCTCCCCACGACTCGAAGCGGCAAAACCCCGCGCCCCAGGCTGCTGCGGCGAACGCATGGCAGGAATTCACGGCCGGAGTTCCATGGCTGCCTCTGGTGTCACAAATTTATGAACATTTGGGTGTCAAGCAAGTGGGCTGCACTCAGATCCCCTGCTAAAAGTGACTAATAGGGGGCCAGGTGCCATCTTACATCGTTGCTGATGTCAAGCTGGTGGTAGAAAGTTGACGACATAGAAATCTTGTTTGGCTTTGTGGTGTTGTTATCAAAGAAGACTCGCGAAAACCCCGCCACAACCGTTTTCTTCGGACAACAATCCTGACAACTGGTTGATGTTTTTGCGCTGGGCGCGTGAGCGCGCCGCATTCTTTCTTGACCAGTGGTGTGCTTTGTGTAGGAAGCCACGCAGCTCCAAAGAACAAGTTGTGGGATTTCTTGGTAGTCTATTTATAGGGGGTGTCCTGTCCAAGTGGTCTGAATCTCGACTAAAATTCACAAGGGGGTTCTTCGTTAATCTGGCATTGACATAATACTGTGGATGGACGAATTCCTGCACCACGTTGAAACTATGGTTGAAACCAACCATAACCTTTGTTGGTAGTTACATTGAATCATCATAAACCGTGACTTCTGAACGGTGGTGCCTAAAAGGATTTCGCAACCATCCACAGTTCAGTGCGTCCGTGCACCCCAATACCTTCGCCGCCTTGGGCGGGCGTTTCCTTCCCCCTAAGCCGGAAAACCGGAGCGTGCGGAACGGCATGCGAGGCGAGGGAAGAAGCCCGGAGAAAAACCACGGCCTAGAAAGCAAGGGATGCCCTAGATCCGAAACCATGGCCTTGTATGGTACCCCTTCAGGGTAAGAGAGATGCCCCCAGAAAAAATAAATAAACCGCCTAGCACCTTCCGTGTCCATTTCCCTGAATCCTTCTCAAATGGTTGCCAGGCCCCCGATAAAACGAGCGCTTCAAGAGAATGGGTGAAAAGAACTGGAAAATCAACCCTTCAGTTGCCCCTCTAACAAAAACATACAAAGGTGATATCTCCTTTTTGGGGCCACTGAAAATCGACCAGAGGGGCCATGACCAAAATCGGAACTTGTCAAAACCAAAAGATCAAAACCGGGCGATTTGCTTTGGGCTTGCAAGCCAGTGGAAATGCACAATTTGCCCAAACAGGGTGTGTGCGTGTAAACATACATATACTTATCTATATATATATATATGTATATCTATGTATCATGTAACTTCAACATCACTGAACAGGATCAGATGGATCTGGAGTATTGGGTGCCCAAACATGAAACAGGCAAAAGAGAAGTGTTAAAACCACAACAATGCCCTTTCCTTCCAAAAGTTCTCTGCGCTCACGCGCTTTGCAGTTTGAAAACAGGACGCGTACCCTGACATTTGGCATTGATCATGTGCCTGGTCGGACAGCGGTAAATGGTCGTTTTTACTTTCGTATCCAAGTTAACTGTAGGGGATGGGAACCCAAGAATCATGAGCCTTTGGTTCGGGTATTTTGCTCGGGGGTGTTCCTTTTGCCACATTTTCCTGGGAAAATAAAGGGCCTCCCTCAAAGTGTAGGAATCCTTTTGGAGAGGAGCCCTTCATTTTCCCAACAAAATGGTGGCAAAAGAACAACCCTGACCTAGGATAGATCTTCAAGTACAGCCGGAAGGAAACTTTTCTCACTCTTGGCTCACTTTTTTTTTGGCCGACAAAAACATGCCTAGAGCTTTTGACATGCCTAGAGTCTCCCTGAAATTTGGCTTCCTTCAGAACGCCAAAGGCTTGGGGCACTCGGCGAGCACTGGAAAGAGGCTCCGGCATTCGCCGCCTGGCAATACGCCCGCAGGACCTGGGAGGAATACGCCGAATGAACGCATCGGGTTTGTACCTGGATGTCCGAACCCCAAACACTCCAAATACCCGCCTTTTTCTAGGGTATTTTTTGGGTTGAAAACCTGGGGTCGACATGATACCCACAAAAAAAAAACAGGTATTTGGAGTCGGGGGTATGCAAAGAACCTCCTTTGAGGTCTAACTCTTAGTCCAGTTTTGCTCCTCTATGTCCTCCAGATTTGAGAGGATAGAGGTTAGGGTACCCGATTTTTTCCTGTAGTCTATTTTTAGTAGAGGAACCCTCCCCCAAAAAAGGGGAGAGAAGGGCACTACTGGGGGACCTAGTCCTAGTTAGCAACTGGTGATCGCCATTTGGGGTGTTTTACCCGCTTCTGACAAGCTTGACCCCCTTACAAATGGGTTCTAACCAAGGCTACCAACAAATTACTAACTTGGCCGAGCACCCAAGTAGGAATCAACTTGCCCCTCATTTCCGATGGAGTGGACCACAATCCTGAACGCTAAGCAGTGGTGCGTATATTTGAACCCAGCGTTTTAATGGTGGACACTGAAGCGCAGGGTGCTTCTTTTGCCGACGGATTCTTTGAAGGAAACCCCCCATTAAGAAAACGTGGCGCATTTCTGGGTTCCCCTGGACAGGGCTGTGGGGAATGGAATCCACTTCTGTAATAAACAGAAAGGGCCTAACCCCAAAGACTAATTTCCTTCATAACGGGGGATTCCCAAACGTATCACAGAAATGGTTGGGGAGAAACCCCGAGTGATCCACCACAACCCTGGACAGCATTCACTGGAGTTCCCCGTAAGCTGAACATTTGGTGATGATTCCCCCGTTCAACAAACCATAGCTTCCGCTGATCGAAACCGAGTTCAAATCCCACACCCCTGTTTCTGCAGGTTTAGGATCTCTGACTTTGAGCGCAAACCGGCTGCAATTGAGCCCGTTCCGCCCTTCGCTGCAGTTGGCTGAAAATTTGAGCCTAGCCCAACGGGACCTGTAACCCACTTGAGCGACCAACACCTAGTGACGCTTCGTTCTACAAATGTGGTATAAAGATTTATGTAGGTCTTGCTATAAAGCCACCATATGACCCGGTAGTAGAAACACCTACTCAAATGGCCAAGGGGGGTTCGGGTGCTGCTCACTTGTCCGAAAAGACCATATACTCATAAACATATCTATTCAAGGGTACGGGTTGGATCCCGCGTCCGAAGCTGAACCATCCCCTTACACAGAATCATACCGAACATGGGGAGAGAACTCGTCGAATCCACCAAATCAAAACAAGAATCCGTTTACTCTTTCGATATGTATATACATGTAAATTACCACTATATACCTTTGTGTTTCATCTGTAAACTCGCCAAATGATTGACTTCATGCTTATTTCCACGTGCAGCCATCCATTGGCTGTTGCTGGTGCCACACACGTTTTTTCCCGACTCGTAAGGCATGCCCCTTTCATAGCCAACAGGGGGACATTGCCAAACATCCGCCTTGGGCAAAATATGCCTTGCCAGTTTACAAGCTCAAATCGTCAGTTCCCATACACCCGAAAGAAACATGGGAATGTCTAGCGAACCACGTTTTATTCCACCACAAAGGATCATAGAGCCTTCGCCAGGTTTAGCCTAATCTAGCCCCCCCCCCAAAAAAAAATAAAACAAAATAAAAAATAAAAAATAAATAACATAAAATGACAACAGAAACAACATACAACAAGAGTTCCCCAAAAAGGTGTCTAACCCCCTAGACCCCCAACCCCTCCGGGCTCAAAACAAATGTGGGTCAATGTGGGTCAGTCTAACCCCCCCCCCCCCCTTCAGCCAAACAAATCATATATCAGCTTCCCTCCACTTGGTGGTTTGGATTGGTGGCTTGGGGTTCGGGGGGCAAATGTTGCCACTTGCACTCTGCAAGAACCAGGGGTTCACATTCCCAAACCACCAATCCAAGCCACCAAGTAAGGGCTACCTCAAACAAAAAAGCGGATTTAACACCAAATGCCATGGATGACACCTTTGGTGTGCTGGATCCCCGGCCTCTTCCTCTGAGATGTCGGTGCTGTCACCGCCCAATGGATGGTAATCCACCTGGGAAATCCGCCGTATCAAACCCGAGCCGACATTTGAAACTAACACTTTTGGCAAGGCTTACGTGCGCCTTGGTCAATATGGTCCAGTTGGTGCAGGGTTCCTTATATTTCCCCTTAAAACACAACCGCCACCCACGGACACTCACCGTACTGAGAGAACCAGGTGACGCTCTAAAAACTACAAAGCAAGTGCACAAATATAGGAACCCCTGTACTGGAACCACCCAAACTTTCAGCTTGTCTTAAACTTATGTTTCTGGAATCCCAACAATGGCCACGAGAAAAACAAAAAAACAAAACTCGGTTTGTCCCAACAACAAAAAATAAGGGACCCCAACGTTGCACGGTGGCTTCCTTTGGCTTCCAAAACCAACGAGACGCGTCCTGCCCGATTGGCTCGGAGACGTTTGGTGGATACCTGCAGCCCACATTTTGGTCCTGTGGATGGCCACTTGGAAACCATGGGGAAACCCATGGAAGCCATTCGTGTGTTGGTATTGGTCACGCGGGAATCCTCAGAAACCAGGGCTTCTTAGGTGGTGCGAAATGGAGTTTGGCCATCCACAGTATGGTCCTATGGCTGTTCAGCACCCCAATTGGCTACCCCTTCCCCCCCCCCCCCGAATTCCAATAGGGGGGACCAAGGCCATCGTGCTCCATTCAACCATGGGATCTGGGTTACATAGCAAACAATATGCTGGTCCTGTCATATGTTTCCCCTATACAAAACATGGTGGTGGCTTTTCTTGAGGCTACCCCTTTCTTGTGGGAATGTGGAGCTAAAAGGGGGGTAGTACCCGCCGAAAAGTTTGTTTTTTTTGCTTGTACCAATCGGGGAGAGAAAATAACGCCACACAACCCCTCATTCCTACCCATCCTTGGCTCCCATCTGACCCGTAACAAAAAGCCGGGGCCCTCGTGTGTGGAGATGCCTTGAGGTTGTCCCATGTCCAAGACCCGTGTCCAAAGAGTAGTTGCCTGTTAGGGTCTACTCAAAACCCCTCCACATTCCCTAAGAAGGAAAAGGGCAATCTCCCCATGATAACAACTTAGTGTTTCCCTTGTGGCCAACTGGCTGCGTCAAAAGTGAAATCTTCCTCACTTGCCCCGTAACCCAGAGACAAAAGGTGATCATCTTTTGGGACCTTCACTCAAAGTGGAACAAGAACTTCCATTTGCTTAAGCCCCCTGGAAAACAAATAAATAGTGAAATCGGTTCCCTTTAAAACCAGCAAGGAAAAGCAAAAAGAAAAGTTCATTTCAGCAAACGGATGAGAACGGAAACCAGGTCAGGTCATTTTTCAGGTCCATTCACTTTGGGGCACGTGAGCTTCCCGGGAACCGCTGGTCAAGGCCGGCGCGACTTTGCCAAAGTCCCCCAGGTGGTAAGGAAGGCACAGGTTCGCCAGGTCCTTGCAACTCCAAAACGCTCACAGCCAAAGGGTCTTCCTGTTGGCTTCCTGTTGATGCCAACCCGAAGTGGGCACATGTGCGGAAACATGATCCCACCGGTTTCAGACTGGTTGAACCTTACCTTTTCTGGGTCCTCCAGATTTGAGCGGTTAGAGGGTAGGGTACCCAATTTTTTTCAGGACGTCTATTTTAGCAGGGGAACTCTCAGACGAAAAAGGGGAGAGAAGGGCACTACTGGGGGACCTTGTAAAGCCAGAGGGTCTTCTCACTTCAGTGGATTTTAGTCTACAAAAAGTAATATGTCTTCCCGAAAAGTGGAAACTCCAAAACGGAACTGAAGGAGTGAGTAAACCTCCATTTGCAAATACGTCCCTGGAGAAAACAAAACAAGTATATTTCCAGCAATAACAGCATCCCGTTAAAACCAGCAGGGGAAAACAAATACAGCAAATTGAGGCTTTAGGTGCTAAGATTCTTAGGCTGCAGAACTTCCTGCGGCTGGTTTCTGTGACCCTGCCTCGTGTAGAAATCCCCCCCAATCCCTGGCGTGGACGGGGACAAATTGCAATTCTCTAGAACTCCCACGACTCGGAAAACAAGAGAATTGCAATTTGAAAAAGCGGTTAAACAAAAAGGGGTCAAACACTGGGGTTAAACAAAAAACAAAACTGGACAACCCCTCTTTTTTTTGTTTAACCCCTGGTTGAACTGGTTGACTAAAAACACAGGATATTACAAGCCTCCAAGGCCCACATGGTAGACCCTGTGCATGCAATTTTGGGCACAGGTAAGGGGAAACCACACCCCCCTTGCACTAGCTGCGCCATGTCGCTCTTGACCACAACTTACTCAACCAGTTGGCAAAATCAACCACAGAACTAATATGTCCTGGTTCTGTTTCGCGCTTAGTCTACCTTGAAATATCAAATGGGTGTCTTTTTTAGGCACCCCCTAAACAATGGTTGTCCTTTTGGAGTTCTTTTTGAAATCAACAAAACAGGCAACCTCAAAAACAGACACACCCAACTAGTCTTGAAGAGACCCCCAGCAAGGGCCGCCTATGCCCTCGGGCCCAACCCCATGAAAAGAATGGTTTCGGATGACGACAAATTGAATGGTAAACAATGGTGGTTACCCGAACCCAACTATTGTAAGAATGGCAGCTTGAACCCCAGCATGTCGGCGTCCCTCTAACGTGTTTTTCCCATCTACTCTCTACGAGAACCACGCCAACCACCAATTTGGGCCGGGTATGAGCATTCCCAGACCCCAACAGCTTCCAGAGCCCCAAACCTTCCCAGACCCCAACAGCTTCCAGGGCCCCAAACCTTCCCAGACCCCGACAGCTTCCAGGGCCCCAAACCTTCCCAGACCCCAACAGCTTCCAGGGCCCCAAACCTTCCCAGACCCCAACAGCTTCCAGGGCCCCAAACCCACTCAGTTTAGCAAGACGCTTTCACCAGGCCGAAACACCAAACTCTGGGCCCCTGGCGCTCATCGGGTGGCCCACGGTGCTCAACTCCCAGTCTACCACTGCCTTGTGCTGAGGGCCACGTTGGGTGTGTCCTAAAACCTTGGAACTAGGACCCCGGCAAAACATCATCTTTTTCGCCTGGTGAGGAAAACCAAGGGACCCCAAAAAGGAAGAAAAAGAAAGAGGGGAACTAATTCTGGGGAAGAAACAAGGCCAGGCACACCAACAACTGGTGCGTGGGAGTCTGCGCAAGCCTCTTTTTGGGTGTGTGTCAAGATGGGGGAACCCAACATTGCTCAAAAAAGGCGCACCCAAATCTGGATGGCTACAACCCTCTGCCTCTGCCTCAAAAACGACTATTTCCTAGATAGTTATTGAATATCCAGTAATATCCAGCTCAAAAGAAATGAAGAAATACGGGTGGTTCTTTAAAGGGCAGCCGCCCTTTAATGCAAGTGCAAAAATACGCACCTTCTTTGGGTCCTTGTGCGTGCGCGCTGGGCTCCGTGTGTTGGATGTTTGACCGGGTATGACTCGAGGCGTGATTCGGGAGTGTTCTTTGAGGCTTGCTTCGGGGTATGGTTCGCAGCGGTCCCACTTCCACCTTTTTGAAAGCTTGTACACATGTAAAAAAAATCACCCATATGTATATATATATATATGTATAAATGTGTGTTTAAGGCTCAGCGCTCGTTCCAGTTTGTTCTCTGTGAGGCTGTGTTCAACCTTTCGCGGGTTGCCCCAGTGCACTCAGTGGGCCGGCCAAAGCTCAGCGTGGCAACCAGGATTTGCGCACTGGCACGGCCCACGTGTGAGGTTCTCAAGCAGCACCCTACGTATCGGAAGCGCCTAACCCACATGCTCCTGGCTTCGGCTTTCAATGGAAGACCCGACCCTGCCATTCGACACCCCGGGAATTGGTGGGTTGGGACCCGGTCTCAAAACCAGGTTGTTTGAAGGCCCATCAATCGAATTGGAGCCGCTGGGAAGAAAAACTGTCCAGGATGTGGAGAGCCTAGCTCTGCACTTTGCACGCGCCATGGGCCTGCAGGCCGGGCATTCCTCCCACGGATTTGTGCGTTCGGGCTGCGAGGGAAGCTGGGCTGTCACCCGAGCTGAAGCCAGGCGCGAGCAGAATGTAGCCACGTGCTCTCACTCCAATGGGCCACAAACTCGAGGGGAAACGAACGTCTGAAGGAAACCGGAGAGGGGATAAGAATTTGCCGCCTTCCATGCCCAAGGTGGAGGGTGGAGGAAGCAAGCGGCTCTCTTCCCAACCCCGACGGACCAAGAAAGCAGGACAGGTTGAAGGAAGGGAGAAACCCCACGGAGGGAACAAGAACACGCCTCCCCCAACGCACACCTCTAAAAAAAACAAAACGCGGGCTGCCCCAACGCCCACCTGAAGGCGAAGGGAACACGTGGAACCAACGGGGACAACTGGTCTCTTCAGACGGAAAGCTTGCAAAGCGGCTGCCTGCTTCTGCTCACCCAGCGGTTTATGAACCCGGGCAAAATAATTCCAGACAATCATTTCCGGGCGTTTGAAGGTTGTGAGCGGGTTTCCCGTGATTGTCATCATACGCCCCCGGAACATTATGTCTAGTAGTATACAGTAGTGTTAGATTCCTTTCCAACCGACTGAGACAATAACAACTATTCAAACGAAAGTCATGTGTTTCACGTTTGCTACCATGACCTTCATCGCTCTGGCTTTCTTATTTTGCTTTGTTTTTACGACACTCGTGGCGTTCTTTTCTCCAACATTCTTGTGTTTCCACGAAGTTCACATTTGCAAGTTGCTTCCGCCAAGATTGAACATAAGAGAGCCTGCACAACCAACACACGCACGCACGCACACACGCACACGCACACGCACACGCACACGCACACGCACACGCACACGCGCACGCACAGGCACACGCACACGCACACACACACACACACACGCGCACGCACGCACGCACGCACGCACGCACGCGCACACGCACACGCACGCGCACACGCACGCTCGCACGCACGCACGCATGCACGCACCCACCCACACACACACACACACATTTACTTTTGAGGGGGCAGCTCGGTGAAAAATACTTGCCCAACTTCAGGCAAAACATGTGAACCGAAAGGTTCAAGCTACGACCCACAGGAGAAATCCTACAAGAACTCCCAGGTTTCACGTTTCCGAGCTCGAGGCTCTTGAGGCGGGGTCTGACGCAACACCGTCTCACCGCCTGTTCTGAAACTGGGCCCTTCCAACAAGTTAAAGTCATCGGCGCATAGCTCTCACCAACCAACATGCATGTGCACAGACCCCTTCCTTCCATTTGCGAATACTCCCTCTGGAAAGAAAATGTTCATATTTCCACGAGTGATAGATTCCCTGACAAGCTAAAACATATCCTTGAGCAAATGGAAGCTCCATGCTGGGGGGGGTTCCCCCTTGAACTCAGGGCTGTCATGGTCTCTCTTTTTCAAGGGTGCCCCAGCTGTACGGTCTTTTAAGAGACCAACAAGAAAACCGTAATTTCTCGCTCTCTCCTCTCCCTCTCCCGCTCTCTCTCTGTGGGGGGGGCCCTAAAAAAGACACACTCATGTAAATCTTGCAGAACAATCCTGATCACTCCCTTAAACTCGCCATGTAAAACGGCCATTCCCGGCATGGATGCATAAGCCGAAGCGCGAGCACATTTGGAGGATTCGTGAGTGAGAGGATGAGGTTGTCAGGCTTCCAGTCACCATGGATCACACAGGACCTGGCCGTTGGATTCTTTTTTTGGGTGGATTTCCATGAAAAAACCTCGAGATCAGTTTCTTGCTTGTGGGGTGATGTTTGAAGGGGCAAGTATAGGAAACACTGTCGGGTTGACCCTGGCATCTCCACGGATTGAGCATCAAGCGAGGTCTGTGGGGTGACTCTGTCCGAAACCTTGAATGCCTGGAGTCAGATTCCCCCTGACTGGTGGTTGATTGATGCGAGGGCGCCTGTTCTCAGCTTGTGGATGAAAGAAATTTGGTGGCTCAGGCGGTTCAAAGGTTACGGGGTGGTTTTCCATTTACTACTAAAGCCAAAATCCAAACCCAGGAGGTTGCTACAAATCTATTTTAGGACCTCGGATTGAGAAATTAATTCCCGGCAAGCGTCATAAAAAAGATGCCAAAGTGGGAGTCCCATCCCCATGACTACTTCTGCACTTCAACAAAACAAACTCAGTGACAAATCCTGCTCAGGGGGGATACTCACCGCCGAACAGGGGTGGCAACTTAAGCAAGGTCTGGTTTGTTGCTGAGTCTTGCAGCGGAATGTTTGGCTCGACATCACGTGCGGTGCTTGGAACACAGGATGGATCTCGCCATCCTTTGCTTTCACCCAGCGGTCCTTTTAAACCTCATACAGATACAATTCCTTACCTGACCAGTTGAAATACCTGGCACCGTTGGTTCAAATAATGGTTTTTGTTGATGCAATTTGAATGTGCGAGAAAATCCAAGCTCTATGACAACTGCCAATATGCAGTAGGACAATGAACAAGCCTCATTGGGTTGCTGAGCACGCTTGCCATTTAATGGCAATCCACGATGAATCCATCCCAATCCATCCCAAAACAAGAGAGTTTGTGTGTCCCACATGGGGCTCCTTCTCATCCTCCCTGGAAAATATTGTTCTGGCTGAACTAACAACGGACTAGCAATGATGTGTCAGTTGCTCAGTTGCGTCAAAAAAAAAACGCTGGAAAGGCAAGCACCTCACAAACCAGCTCATTGTCTCGTTGATCGGTGACACAATGTGTTTTCTATGTCATATATGTTTTTTCGTTTATTAATGGCCGACGTGGCCAAACCTGCGTTTGCCTCAATGAGGAGCCCGAAAACAATGATTGACACTTTCTGAATTCAAATTCCCCTGACAACTCACCCCAAAAAAAGAGGATAGCATTAAAACGACACACACACACACCTGTTAGGTGCACACCCGCAACTCGCAGAATCCAAACCTAAGGCCCCCGCCTTCTCCCAAAGACTCTTCCCTTGGACGAAACAGAGAGAACGGGGTTATGGGCATTGGACGTAGTTGTCCTTGAGGTAAAAAGATGAATGGGTTCCCCTCGTAGATGGATGGCTGT